GAGAAGCAGCGCGGGCGAGCAATGTGCTGGCCACGGCTTCTCACCGCCCCCATTGGCCCGGGACGGCGAACCGCGGCCAGTGGGGGCCGCGATCGGCCAAACCTGCCGCATAAGCAGGTAAATAAAACTGGCCCGGCCCGCCAGGGTGCTTACCCTGGCGAGCCGCGTGCCAAACGTTGTCGACCCCTGTTTTAAAGCATTCCCCTTCCAAAGGGGATCCAGTTTATTCAGTCCATACACACATGAATACTCCATGCCAGCTTCGCCCAGCTGCCCATTGGTTCCACAGTTCAAACAAACAGTTTTCTCCCCTTGCACCAATAATCCCCAAGCCCTCCATCCTGGAGTTGGGTTATAATCCCAATGGTCTCGCTCTCTGGTAACCAAGAATCCTCAGGCCTCCTTCCCACAGCTGGGTTCAGTTCAGTCTCTCTCACTCCCTACAGGAACCAGTTTTGCTTCCGGGAGTTGCTTCCTCAAACCAGCTACAGCTTCCCAGACTTCTGTCCTGTCAGGGTCTCTCAGCACCCTAACTTGAGCCTCAGCAGCTCTCACTTGAGGGCCCTCAGCCCTCTCCTTTATAAGAGGCCTGACTAAAGATCACGTGACCAGTGAGTCAGATGACTCATTCTCGCCTCCTGAAGAGGTGGGTTTAGCTTCTCATAGGTGGACAGAATACTATCTCCCCTTAAAAGGCTAACCACCCAGTAACACCGAGCCTATAGAATGATATTTAAATACTAAAGGTTTTATTATCCTTCCACCCTTTGTTCACTAATTTAATTCCATTCACACAGGAAGGATTCTGTGAAATGATGTAATAGGCAGCTCTATCTGAAGAACTGCAGTGCCCCCATTAACAGTAGCAATAGGATTGCAGCAATGAATAGGCAGCTCCACTCTGCTAGTTTTTCTTGACATAAGGCTTCTGAAATCAGATCACATAAAACTGCACCGCTAAAAAACTAAATAAGATGAATACAAAGGAGGGCTCTCCTCACAGAATTTTAATTTCCTTTATTTTAACGCAGAACAGCCAAAAAGTACCAGAAACCCTGACTCTGATAAACAGCTTTCAAACACAAAATATACAGAAATGAGATTTCAAAACTTTTTCTTAAACTGGAAATATCTACTGCAACTCCATTTTTTAAACAGATTTTGGCCTGGAAGGTTTGCAATGATCAAGTGGTTTCAAGCACTTTTGTAATGAATGAAATTGTACATGTTTACTTTAAAATATATTATACATGTTACCATCAATCATTTGTATTGCAAGTTTTACATTTAAGATTCTGTAGTAATTATAGCACTGGTAATTATTCTTATGCCTAATAGATTCATAGATTCATAGAGTCATAGATTCTAGGACTGGAAGGGACCTCGAGAGGTCATTGAGTCCAGTCCCCTGCCCGCATGGCAGGACCAAATACTGTCTAGACCATCCCTGATAGACATTTATCTAACCTACTCTTAAATATCTCCAGAGACGGAGATTCCACAACCTCCCTAGGCAATTTGTTCCAGTGTTTAACCACCCTGACAGTTAGGAACTTTTTCCTAATGTCCAAGCTAGACCTCCCTTGCTGCAGTTTAAACCCATTGTTTCTGGTTCTATCCTTAAAGGCTAAGGTGAACAAGTTCTCTCCCTCCTCCTTATGACACCCTTTAAGATACCTGAACTCTTCTATCATGTCCCCCCTCAGTCTTGTGTTCGCCAAACAAACCATGCCCAGTTCTGTCAG